AACCGCAAACCTTAAACCCCTAAACCCTGAACCCCAAACCCCAAACCCCAAACCCTAAAACCCTAAACCCCTAAACCCCAAACCCTAAGCCCTAAACCCTAAATCCCAAACCCTAAACCCTCAAGAGAATGATAAATAGAAATTGCTTGTCATTGTTGGTAGACCAAGCAACGGCCCAACAGCCCAGTCCCAAAATCAAAACGAAGTGGCAAACGAAGAGCACACTATACTCGGCATGTCTGCCACGTCCCGAACGGTTTCTACTGCAAGCTTTCATGAAGAAACGCTGCAGAGAAGTGGAGCGTGAGGGGACCGAGCGCCGGCAGCGCGAAGCCCTGGAGATTCGGGATCTGCACCAGCACCCTCTCCGCGACCTGCTGGACCGCGTGGTGACCTACTCGGCCATCGAAGGAGAAAAGAACGGCTGTCTGATGGTGGACATTCTGCGGAATCTCGGCTACCGTCGTGTACGACGCCTGGCGAAGGCGGGCTTTGGGTTCCCGCGCGGCGAGGCTGGCGCAGATCAGCAATCTTCGGGAGGTCACTAAATTTAGCAAGTCGCGCTGGAAGCGGCAGCTGGAGACAGGAACGCGGAGAGCCGCCGTGACCGTGCAAGCCCGGTGCGCCGCGCCTTCTTGTTCTTTACGTTTCACCAAGACGCATGAGCTTCCCGTCTGCTGACAGGAAAAGACAAGCCTGTGCTGTATGTGAGTGACACTGGGAGTGATTAGCAGAGGTTGTTGAGAGATTCGTTGTTGCAATGGCTCTAGTTGAGGAGTTCGTGTATGGATCTGCAGCCTGCTTGTTCGAGTCTTTAGCTCCGAGCTTCGTTGATAGCAGTGCCGCATTTTAGCACTTGCTTTCGAATCCCTTCCCGGCTTTGTGTGCGAGGTCGGAGTCTGAGTGTGAAGGAGTCTGAGTGTGAAGGACACCGGTTTAGGCAAAGCCCTTGTAGTTTTGCTCATTCGGAGGTGTGCGGCGATCAAGACGTTCCATTGGCGGATGATCCTCGGAGCTCTTCGGAGCAAGCGGTTTTCAAACGCTGGATCCTCGGTGCTTTAAAAATGATGAGGTGTATCTTTCATGTTGGCGCGATGAGGTCAGCGATGTGCCGCAGAGCAAGGATGGCTTGGGGACGTCATATCCGAGCCGCTAACCGAGGTAGAGGACCTTGCAATAATCTTCAGTGTGTATCGTTATGCACCCATCTTGATTTCGAAAGGACTCCGCAACTGAGATCAGTACTCGCGTCGGGGGCGATCTCTTGGAAGATGAGCGTGAGGCGGGTCTGTTTGCCAGGACTGGCCTGAATGTCAGAGGCAACACTCGCGAATCAGGACAGTGCTTCCGTGGAGAGCGAGATCCATTGTGACTCCTGCGACGAGGCTGTTCTTTGTGAGTCCAGGCTTCGGGGTTTCGAGGATCTGGGTTCGGTCTTGCGCTTCATGTACTTGCCTTGGAAGGTGAACCTCGGCAGAGCAGCCTCGCGGCTGGATTCCCAGATTCCGGACTGCCGGTTCTGGAGCGGCTCTCGCCGCATCTTTACTTTCTGAGAAGCAAAAGAAGGGAACTGTGATGCACCAGAGACCTCCAGAAGCCTCTGGGAAAGGACATTGTTCTACCTATATGAAGGGCCCAAAGACCTCCAGGAGCCTCTTGGAAAGGAATTTGTCCTACCTATATGGAATGCAGAAGTCGAAGCACTTCTGCGTCGCTCAGTAGCCAACCCAAGAAAACAGTGCACAGAGTCGGGAGTGTAGTCGCGCATATCTCCCTGTTTCCAGACACGAGAGTAGATCTTGCCTCCGTGTGCAACATTGGTTGGCCCATGCTAATCGCACGTCTCCAACCGCAGAACCAGAGTCCCGTGGCACGAACCATCCACCGACCACCCAACAGTGTACGCGTAATATCCTTCGTAGTTGAAAGACATCGGTTTAGAGTTTAGACCAATCCTAGGCGGAATCCAGTATTCTCTACGGAAGACGAACGTCAGCAATATAGGCTATCGAGGCTCGATGCTTAGCTTGTCTGTAATGCGTCTGCGCTCCACGAACGTAGATAGCTGCCGCCTTTTCTTTGGAGCGCGGCCACAGCTTCCACAGCCCCACCCAGCACAGCCCCCCAGCCCACCCAGCCCAGCCCAAGCCAGCGCCCAGCCCAGCCCCCACCCAGCAGCCCAGCCCGCAGCCCCAGCCCAGCCCAGCCCAGCCCAGCCCAAGGCAGCCCAGCCCAGCGCAGCCCAGCCCAGCCGCTTTGGTCCACCAAATTCAAAACATGGTTCCAAAAAAAACATTCGGTCAAACCGTTTCGGTCAAAACTTTCGGTCAAAACGTTTCGGTCAAAACTTTAGCACCCAAACCCTTAACAATTTCTGTAAACCCCAAAAGCCTAAACCCTAAACCCCCCAAATCTTAAAGCAGAGATCGTCGACCTTGGCCCGAGCGCCCAGGCCTCATAGCCCAAAGCACAAGATCCGAAAGCAGTAACTCCTCATCCCTTTGGGTATAGGCTTTAGGGCTTAGGGATTTGGGGGTTTAGGGTTTAGGGGGTTTAGGGTTTAGGGCTTACGGTTTTGGGGGTTCAGGGTTTAGAGGGTTAAGGGTTTAGGGGTTAGGGGTTAGGGGGTTTAGAGTTTACCCGTTGGCCCTAGTGACGCAGAAGCAGTCAGTTTGAAGGGCTACCGTTGGGATCAGAGGGTTCGGCTTCGCGGGTAGAGATGCAAGGACGCGGACGCAAGAGTTATGTTGGTCTAAGTTCTGCTCATACTACATACAGTTCTCCTGCCATGCCTAGAGAACTAGAAAAAATCTTGGCCACAATTACTTTCTTCATGGGTTATAGCAGATTTATGAACTAGTCAGACTGCTGTGCCGCCCAAACCGGTTTGGGGTTTTACGGTTCAGGGCAGGAGTGTCTGTGCGTTCCAGCGGTGGGGCCTGGGTCGAAATAATATAGGGGCCTTAATAATTAGAATAGGAGTTTGGGGCATATTATACTAAAATTATAATCAATCCTAAACCCTAAACCCTAGTATACTGAACAAATCCCCAAAACAATATAGGCAATTGTGTTATCTTGATTGCAGAGTTGGGGTTCCACCCCGCAAGGTCTGCACACCCCACCTCCACAGCCCTGCTCCACTCAAACGCTGTTTTGGGTTTGGGGTTTAGGGTTTAGGGGTTTAGGGGTTTAGGGGTTTAGGGGTTTAGGGTTTAGGGGTTTAGGGTTTAGGGGTTTAAGGTTTAGGACTCCATGTTGTGCAGGAGCCACAAGAAGACACAGGCCTGGCGTAGAGTCCTTTTTTTCCATCGTGCCTGGAATTCGAGTACGGAAGTGACTGTAAGCGTGCTGAAACAGCGTTTTCCCCTACACCACCCTAAGCCCTGTACCCTAAACCCAAAATCCTGGACCCTAGACGCTAAACCCTACGAACCTAGAGGCTTCAAAACCTTTACCCTCATCGCAGATACCCGAAGTCTTAACACAAAACCCTGAAGCCGAAACACCATCCAGCCCCAAAGCAAAGCACGCTTTCGAAATCCAGCTGCACTGACATGTATGACTAAGCTTTTTTCTATTGATAAGTGAAGACATATGATCATGATCGTTTTTTACTGATTACTATCACAGCTTGTGAAGTTTACATTGGTATTGTATTATAATTGTATTCATTTTCATACTCGGTATGGTATTGCCACAATTACGATTATGGCTGAAACCACGATGATGAAATCGGATCAAGACGTTACTCTTTAGCCTGTGAAGACTGCCTAGAGGAAAAGTGGTATCCTACTCCCTAAACCCTAAACCCTAAAGCCTAACCCCTAAACCCTAAACCCTAAACCGTTATTCAGGCACCGATATTGAGCCCAAAGCCTCAACACTCCAGGGTTGAGGGCTTAGCGCTGAGGGGCTTCAGGCCTTTCGTCCCGTACGCCCTTTTACGTACTATCCAGGGAAAACGTCCGTAAACCCTCAACCCGAAGCCCTAAAGCCCTAAAGCTTAGCCCCGAGCGGGGATTGGACATTGGAAGCACGTGCAGCTTTCCGAAATCCTCCGGCGAGGCCTGGCATTCATGTGGGCGATTAGGGTTTAGGGTTTGGGGATTCACCGGGTTCTCGCTGCTAGCTGAATCCCGAAGCCACCCTATCCCCAGACCCTAAACCCTCGAACCATCCTTGGAACAGGCCTTGAAGCCTGAAATCTCACACCACGAAGCAACTTTAAGACCGACAGGTGAAGATTAAAAATGCCGAGAAGCCCCCCGAAACCCTAAACCCTAAACCCCCAAACCCTAAACCCTTAAACCCTAAACCCTAAACCCCTAAACCCCCAAACCCCCTTGAAACCTACACCGCTCCCTGAACGCAAAGCAACCCCTGGAGGCTTCCGTAGGCCCACAAAAGAGGGCAAACTGTAGGCTACCTGTACCCCAAAGAACCAACTTCTTTTAGGGTTTAGGGTTTTAGGGTTTAGGGGTTTAGGGTTTAGGGGTTTGGGGTTTAGGGTTTAGGGGCTCCTGATTATGATTTCTTTACACAAGTCCTTAAAAAGGTCGGTTACTTGGGGTTAAGGTAAGGCTATAGTTGCTTTCTAAACTCCCACATAAAGTCCTTAGGATTGCGCTTACTAGGTGCCCGGATCTTTTCACTACTCCGTCAAACTTCGAGACAGCAGGTTAAGGGCATCTGAGGCTGAGGGTTTGGGTTTGCTCGCGAGGATTCAAGGGCCTCACGGCCCAGGAGGGATAATGCAGGGAAGCCCTGGGCCTTTATTAGGGATCTTCATATGGACCCGAATATATCGGGGTTTTAGGGCCAGGGTTTCTTAGTCAGGTTCCTACATTAGGGCCGGGCTGTGGGGAGTTAGGGTTCAAGGTTTAGGGTTTCGGAAGGTGGAGTTTCGAGTTCTAAAGCTTGGCAGAGGTCCGCAAAGTGCCAGGCCTTGCCGGTGCTTAGCTTTGGTTAGATGTTGAAAGGACAACAGTTTCCCCCTGCCCATAAACTGTCAGGTCGAAGCTACTAAGGTTTAGGGTTTAGGGTTATAAGCACTGGCTTATTTGGGTCGGAGTTGCAAACAAGTATCGTACCACTGAAACCCTCTAACCTTCAGCACGAAGTCCGCTGGAGGAAACACAGATGTAACTATTTAAATCAACAAACAAAGACATGTGAATAAGCAAACGAAAATATAAATATAGATATAGATATAGGTATAGATATTCAAAAATAAATCAGTTGTATATATATATATGTGCATATGTGCTAATGACGTTGGTCGTGCAGTGCTGGTAGAGATGCCAAGTCTTGTGAGACAAATACCACACTATGAAATTCGGATGAGATCAGATGCTCGGAATACTCGTAACAGTACGGCAACCTCTGCCCCAGGCGCTGCTGGTCGTCGTAGTAGTAGTGGTAGTGGCAGTGGAAGCGTAGTGGTAGTGGTAGTTCTGGTGGTGGTAGTGGTGTTGGTGGTGGTGGTGGTGGTAGAAGTACGCAGAAGTAGCAACCGTCGTCGTAGTAGTGGTAGTGGTCGTCGTTGTCGTCGTCGTCACGTCGTGGCCTAGGTCGGTAACGCGTCAGTAGTAGTAGTAGCAGTAGCAGTAGAAGTTGTTCTGGTATTAGAGGTGGTAGTAGTAGTAGTAGTAGCAGCAGCAGTAGTAGTAGTAGTAGTAGTAGTAGCAGTAGTAGTCGTTGTGGTATTAGAGGTGGTAGTAGTAGTAGTAGTAGCAGCAGCAGCAGCAGCAGCAGCAGGAGTAGTTGTAGTAGTAGTAGTAGTAGTAGTAGTAGTAGTAGTAGTAGTAGTAAGTAGTAAGTAATAAGTAATAAGTAATAAGTAATAAGTAATAAGTAATAAGTGATAAGTAA